CCTCCTCCTTTCCGCTCCCGCTCCGTCGGCCTCTTCGGCAACGGCCTGCCATTTTCCTCGGTTTTCGAAGGGGGGTCGAGGTAGCGACTTCGCAGGCCTGCGCCTGCCAGGTCTGGCTTCGGGTCGTTTCCACTAGAGCCGGGGAAACATCAGACTCGAGAAAGCCAACTCGGGTTTACCGACGTTTTTTGACGAGCGCGTCCTGGATTTTGACGGTCCTGTTTTCGTGGGATGTTTGCACCGGCAGCTCGCGTCAAGTTTCAGATTGGGCCTCGTCATTTTTATTATGACCCCGTCAGGCCAACCCGAGTCCTCCGTACCCGAGTCCGACGTCTCCCCGACAGAGGGTGCTTGTCCACCTCCAGCGCTCTTAGGAGGGGGATGCGACCGGCGTTTTTCGTGTTCTTTCGGTCGGGCCACTGTCAGGAGGGGAAAAACAACACTGACACAATTAATCGTCGATACCCAGGAAAATATGGGAAAATATGGGAAGTGGGGGGGAAGACAAAAACCCAGAAAATATGGGAAAATATGGGGAGTCCGGGTTATTTGTGTACATTTATTTGTGTGTCCCAGGGCCCCTTCACACTGTTCGAACCAGCCTGTGTGGCACGCTGCGGCCACCGTCGCGCCCACACATCAAGCGCCGCCTCCTTCCCCTCCCATTCCAGGAAGAGGAGGAGGAGGAGGAGGAGGAGGAGGAGGAGGAGGAGGTGGGAGGAGAGGAGGAGGAGGAGAGGAGGGGAGGAGGAGGAGGAGGAGGAGGGAGGGGGGGAGGGGAGGAGGAGGAGGGAGGAGGAGGAGGAGGAGGGAGGAGGAGGAGGAGGAGGAGGAGAGGAGGAGGAGGAGGAGCGGAGGAGGAGGAGGAGGAGGAGGAGGAGGAGGAGGAGGATGAGGAGGAGGAGGAGGAGGAGGAGCGAGGAGGAGGAGGGGAGGAGAGGAGGAGGAGGAGGAGGAGGAGGAGGAGGAGGAGGAGGAGGAGGAGGAGGAGGACGAGGAGGCGGAGAGGAGGAGGAGGAGGAGGAGGAGGAGGAGGCCCATTTCGATTCGATCCATCCGCTCGACATCGATCCGGGCGGCTCGATCCGACTCGATGCGATGTTCACCACCCCTGCTCCTCTCCTCCCCTCCTCCTGCTCCTCCTCCTCCTCCTCCTCCTCCTCCTCCTCCTCCTCCTATGTCGAAGCGCCGAATATAAAAAAACACGCTCACCTGCTCCGAGCACGTTCCTCACCACCCACCAAACCACCCCAACCCAACCCGAGGGCTCAGATTTACCCTCGATTTCCAGTGGGGGGGGATCGGGAAACATCGACAATAACACAGCTGTAACCCTTACCCCCCCAACCCGAAATTCGGGTCTTCGGGTTGGGTTGGGGTGGTCTGGTAGGTAGTCTGATGCTCCAGCGATGCGTTGCGATCCGATGTCTGCATGTCTGCACGGGGCTGCTGTGCATCCTGGTGCAGCCGATCCGATTCGATATCGATTCCGTACCGGTGTAGCCCGATCCGACGCACGTGTCGGTCCGTCCCGTGAAAGTTCCCGAGTCGATGCTGGCTGCTTTTGCATTCCCCTTTCTTCTACCCGAGGCAGCATCTTTCCTCCATGAACCGCTACTTGCCCCCAGCGCCCGGAATCGCTCATGCTCAGGACCTCGCTGGGAATCCCCCCGTAATTGAGCGAGGACTAATTTCAGCGCGCACTATTGCCAGCGAAATTCCCCTGATGCGCATCGGTAAAGCAATAGTAGAAACTCGTCGGAGGCTCGCGTCAGAGGACGGCCCCCTTTCCCTTTTCCACCCTCCCGTGTCCTTTCTTTTTCCCTTCCCCTTTGATCTCTCCCTCCCCCTTTTCCCTTCCCCCCTTCCATCCGCCCCGCCCCATCCCTCCTACGTCTCCCGCCTCCAGACCCATGCTTGCCGTTCCGCCCCCATCTCCCCCCCTCCCCTCTCTTTCCCCTCCCCCTTTCTGTCCTCCCATTCCCTTTTCAGCCGTTTCCCTTTCCTTCGTCCCTTCCCTTCTCCCTTCCCCCCCCCCTTCCCTTCCTCGTCCTCCTCTTCACCTCGCCCGCTCGTCGTCGTCGTCGTCGTCGTCGTCGTCGTCGTCGTCGTCGTCGTCGTCGTCGCCATCGTCGTCGTCGTCGTCGTCGCCGCCGCCGCCGCCGCCGCCGTCGTCGTCGTCGTCGTCGTCGTCGTCGTCGTCGTCGTCGTCGTCGTCGTCGCCCTGTCCACTTTATCCACCTAGTTTCCCCCTTTCTCTTCTTCAGCCTTCTTTGTTCCCACCTCCTCCTCCTCCTCCGCCCCCCTCCATTGTCCTCCTCCTCTTCTTTCCTTCCGCTTCCCCCCTCTTCCGTCTTCCGCCTACTTCCCGCTTGCGTAGGCTCCCCTCCCCCCCGCTCCTCCGCATTTCTCTGCTTTCCCACCTCCTCCTCTTCCTCCTCCTCCTTCGCCTCCCTCCTACTCCTCCGCCTCCCTCATCCTCCTGCTCCGCCTCCGCCTGGGCCTCCGCTTCCACCTGCACCTCCTCCTCCTCCTCCTCCTCCTCCTCCTCCTCCTCCTCCTCCTCCTCCTCCCCCTCCAGTGTCCTCCCACTTCTCTCCCCTTCCCCTTCCTCCCTTTCCCCGCTCGCGTAGGCTCCCCTCCTCCCCCCTCTGTCTTCTCTTCCGAGTGGTGGGCGGCGTTTTTTTTGTTTTGTTTTTGTTTTTGTTGTCGGGGTGGGGGGGGCTGCTGCGGTGGAGGCCCTGATGCACATCCTCACGATGCTCTGCATCATCCTGCTCCTGCTGCTCTTCGTCGCCGTCGTGAACAGGAGGGCCCTCCTTCCTCCTCCTCCTCCTCCGCCTCCTCCTCTTCTTCCTCCATCCTCCTTCATCCTCCTTCCTCCTCCTCCTCCTCCGAAGTCGACAGCGACAGCGACAGCGACAGTGACATCGGCAGTGACAGCGACAGTGACAGCGACAGTGACAGTGACGAGGAGGAGGAGGAGGATGAGGAGGAAGAGGAGGGGGAGGAGGAGGAGGGGGGAGGGGGAAAGGTGGAGGAGGAGGAAGAGGAGAAGGAGGAGGAGGAGGAGAAGGAGGAGAGGGGGAAGGAGGAGGAGGTGGAGTCGGAGGAGGAGGAGGCGGAGGAGGAGGAGGGAGAAGGAGGAGGAGAAAGGAGGCAATGAGGAGGAGGAGAGAGGAGGAGGAGGAAGGAGGAGGAGGAGAGGAGGAGGGGGAGGAGGAGGAGGTGGAGGGGGAGGAAGAGGAGGAAGAGGAGGAGGATGAGGAGGAAAGAGGAGGCGGATGAGGGAGCGGGGATGAGGGGGGAGGTGAGGAGAACGAGGAGGAGGAGGAGGCAGATGATGCCGGTGATGATTATGATGCTGCTACTGCTGCTGCTGATGATGATGGTGAGGATGATGATGCTGATGCTAATGCTGATGCTGATGCTGATGACGGTGATGATGATGATGATGCTGATGCTGCTATTGATGATGATGATGATGATGATCATGCTGCTGCTGCTAATGATGCTGATGATGATGCTAATAAGATGCTGATGCTACTGTTGATGATGCTGCTGCTGATGATGATGGTGATGAGTATGATGCTGGTGATGCTGATGATGCTGATGCAGCTGATGATGAGGATGATGCTGTTGATGATAACGATGAGGATGCTGCTGCTGACGACGACGATGATGATGGTGATGATGCTGATGCTGCTGACTGCGAGGACGGCGATGATGCTGTTTATGATGATGCTGATGACGATGATACTGATGATGACGATGACGATGACGATGATGATGATGATGATGATGATGATGATGATGATGATGATGATGATGATGATGATGGTGATGATGATGATGCTGCTGCTGCTGCTGATGATGATGATGATGATGATGATGATGAGGATGAGGATAACGATGATGATGATGATGATGATGATGATGATGATGATGATGATGATGATGATGATGATGATGATGATGCTGAGGATGATGATGATGATGATGATGATGATGATGATGATGATGATGATGATGATGATGGTGGTGCTTAGGATGATGATGCTGACGATGATGCTGATCATGATGCTGGTGGTAATGCTGACGACGATGCTGATGCTGATAATGATGACGATGATGATGGTGCTGCTACTGATGATGCTGATGATGCTGCTGATGCTGATGATGCAGATGATGGTGATTTAGGTGATGATGACGATGCTGATGCTGCTGCTGATGATGATGATGATGCTGATGTTGTTGTTGATGATTATGATGGTGATGATGATGATGCTGCTGATGATGATGATGATGATGATTATGATGATGATGATGATGGATGATGATGATGATTGGATGATGATGATGACGTTTGATGCTGCTGCCTGTGGTGTGATGATGGCTGCTGGATGATGACGATGATGATGACGATGTGATGATGATGATGATGAGGAGGAAGGAGGAGGAGGAGGAGGAGGAGGAGGAGGAGGAGGGAGGGAGGAGGAGGGCGGAGGAGGCGGGGGAGGGCGGGAGGTGGGGAGGAGCAGAAGGAGGAGGAGGAGGAGGAGGAGGAGGAGCGAGGGAGGCAGGAGGAAGGAAGGAGGAGGAGGAGGAGGAAGGAGGAGCACAAGCAGGGGGAGGAGCAGGAGCAGGAGCCATCATCGATGCACTTCTCAAGACTGGCCGCCAGGGGCCGCTCTGTCTTGGTGCACTTGCCTCTGTTTGGTTCACCTGCTCTCGCAAGGGTTGCTCTTCGGGAGCCAGCCCAGCTCCACGCACAGGCGGGGGAGCCGGTGCAGGAGCTGGAGGAGGAGGAGGAGGTGGATCAGAAGCCTCTCAGGGTGACAGAGCAAAAGGAGGCAAGAGGAGGAAAAGGAGGAGGATGAGGCAAGAGGAGGAAGAGGAGGATGATGAGGATGAGGATGAGGATGTGGAGGAGGAGGAGGAGGAGGAGGAGGAGGAGGAGAAGGAAGAGGAGGACTAGTGCAAACCGGAGACGCATCAATGATGTTGCAATAACGCCTCTCTCCAAGTTTTATCCTCATGGGGCCCTACCAAGAATTTTAATGTCAGTGCGGGAAGTGGCCCATTAGAAGACTACCGTCCGATAATCCTCAACCGTACCAGGCACCTTTTCCAGGACTTCAGCGCCGTGGATCAACGTGATTGTTGCGCCCAACAATCCTACACTGTGCCGGAGCATCTTTCCTGGTATCTTCAACATCACGAATCAGCGTGATTTGCTGCGTCCTGACAATCCCAAATCCTAACATAACACAATTTAAAACGTACTTTGATGTGATTGCGCACTTTTGCAATTAACGTGCGCGGAGCCAAGGGGCGATACCCACATTTTGAAAAGGAGCCGCCCTCTATGTATCAAGCTGATGCACACTTTCAAGAAACATGTGGAATGTGCGCTGCGCTCAGGCGATGACCACATCACGAAACGGACCGCCCTCTATCAGTGAAACTATCGCAAACCTTGAGAACGAATGTGCTCGCCGCTGCGGCGAGAATCACATTTGTTTGAACAGGACCCGCCTTCCATCCGTGAGCCTTTTTGTAATTCTTTAAGACGAGTGTGCGCGGCGGTAAGGCGAGAGCCACATTTCGAAAGCGATCCGCCCTCCATCCGTGAAGCTGTTGCACACATTTCAGACGAGTGCGCTCGGCGGTAACGCGAGAGCCACAGTTTGAAAACGATCCGTCCTCCATCTGTGAAGCTGTTGCACATTTCAACCTTTAGAATCATAAAGGGCGGGGGACTCCCAGGCGAAACGCCCAGCCCGCCCTACCAACACCTCTGGGGGTGTGACAGGGAGGAGTTTTTCACAAGGGAGAGGAATGGAGGAGGAGGAGGAGGAGGAGGAGGAGGTGGAGGAGAAGGAGGAGGGGGAGGATGAGCAACAAATATGAAGAGGAGGCTCCGTAGGAGAGGGAGAAACAGGATGAGGATGGGAGAAGGGTTTCCACATTTTACTTCAGCGTTGTTTGTTTAAATCGGTTGCATCATTTTCTCTGGTTTAGAGAATTCGTTCCCGGGCCCGCCGTGTGAGACATTCTCAGTTAAACATGTTGGCATGCTGATTGGTTGGTTTGCGGGGTGGTTGATTGCTTGCCCGATTGGCTGGTTGACTGGTTAGTTAGTGGGTTGGCCGCTAGGTTGGCCTGTTGGTTGGTTGGTTGGTTGTTTGGCTGGTCGGCTGGTTGGTTGATTGGCTGGCGGATCGGTTTGTTTGTTGGTTGGCCTGCTGGTTGGTTGGGTCGGCTTGTTGGTAGGCTGGTTGGTCGTTCGGTTGGTCGGTTGATCGGTTGGTTTGTCGGTCGGTCGGTTGGCGGGGCATTAAAACTGAAGCCTGCCGCCTAAACTCTAACCCCTGCACTGCCTCTTTACCCCCATCCCTAACAACCCAATCCTACCTCTGAGCACACCCCCTAAGCAGAACCCTATCATTCTAAAGCCTTAGATACTGACCCTAAAACCCGAACCCTGACCATAACCATTCAACCTAACACAAACACCTGATGCTCAGCCCTGACACCCTATCTCGTAACCCTTAACCCCAAGCACAAGCTGTAACTCTGAGCTTTTCAATCGTACCTCTCTACTATATGCGCCCCGTGGTAGCGCAAGGGAGCGAACCATATACAAATCTCGCTGAACGTCACGTGGCAACGCAGGAAAGGAAGACATATTATTTCATGATTTCAATGTTCGTCACCTTCGGCGAGAACCACATGCTGAAAACGCTCCAGTCATTCGTGAAACTGCTGCAATTTTTTAGACGAAAGCACGCAGCGCTATGGCGAGAACCACATCTTGAAACGAACTCGCCCTCCATGAGCAAAGCTGTTGCGCACGTTCAAGACGAATGTGCGTGGCGCAAAGACTGTAGCCACATTTTGAACAGGAGCCGCCATCTGTGTTCGAACTTTTAAGACAGCGCTAAGGCGAGGGCCACATTTCGAAAACCACTCCCCCTTCCGTTCGTGAAACTGTTGCCCATCTCAAGCTTCAGGATCATAAGTGGAAACCTCAGGCGAAACGCCCGGCCCGCGCCCTACTTACACGTCAGGGCTTGCCACAGGGAGGAGTTATTTGGGAAGGCAAGGGCTGGAGGAGGAGGAGGAGGATGATATCATGAGGAAGGAGCATGGAGCAGGAAGGAGGAGGGAGGGAGGAGGGACGAGAATGGATGAGGAGCAGGGAGGAGGAATGAGGAGGAGGAGGAGGAGGAGGAGGAGGAGGAGGAGGAGGAGGAGGAGGAGGAGAGGAGGAGGAGGAGGAGGATGGGGGAGGATGGAGTAGGGAGGATTAGGAGGAGGAATAGCTGAGGGGGGAGGGCGGAGGAGGAGAGCGGATGAGGAAGATTGTGGAGGTGCAGGAGTGCCCCAACCGATAGGAAAATCACCACGTTCACACGGGCCATCCTGCAGCCTCTGCGCTGGCTGGTCGACGACATGGAGGCCATGGGGTCGCTGGAGCTGCTCCAGATTTGCCGGGAGCGACGCCCTGTTTTGGTTCGGGTGCAGGAGAAGGTCGAAAATCAAAGTTCGAGGATCGAGGCTCGAGGATCGAAGGAGGGTCGAGGATCGAGGACCGGGGACCGAGGTTCGGTGATTGAGGATCGAGGTGGAGGTTTGAAGATCGAGGATCGAGGTTCGAGGGTCGAGGAGGCAGCGAGGGGCTGAGGGTGGGGAGAGGGAGGTAGGAAAGCTAGGTGCGCTCGCGTCATATCTGACGTCCAGCCCCTCCTTCCCATCCCTTCCCATGGCGTAGATCTTCTCTCTATTCACGCAGTCGGATGTCGTAGCATGGCATAGCATTATATGGCATAGCATGGTGTTGAAAATCAGCGCGTAGCATGACATAGCATGGCGTGGCGACGCCCCAAAGTAGTGGGCTTCTGCGGCCCCAAAACCAAAGAACCGACACCGAATGTGTTATCCCTTGCGATGGTTTCTTCGGGGGGCCATTCTTGAGATTTTGGGGCTTATTTGGGAGGACCGAAATCCATGCCGTGGCATGGCACTGGAAACAATGACGCCAGCGCTGCAGCGGGAGCACGATTCGGAACGAACAGAAGCGCGGAAATGAGTCCAGCGCTGCAGCGGGAGCACGATTCGGAACGAGCGGAAGCGCGGAAATGAGTCCAGCGCTGCAGTGGGAGCACGATTCGGAACGAGCGGAAGCGCGGAAATGAGGCCACCGCTGCAGCGGGAGCACGATTCGGAACGAGCGGAAGCGCGGAAATGAGGCCAGCGCTGCAGCGGGAGCACGATTCGGAACGAGCGGAAGCCCGAACATGAAGCCAGCGCTGCAGCGGAAGCAACATTCTGAGACAAAACCCAGCGAAAACCCGCTTCCAGGGAATCTTGTGTGCAAAAAACAATACGCGGAGGGGAGCCGGATATCTTCCGGACGTCATCAGGGGAGAGAGGAGAGTAATATTCATATTATGTAATTGTGGAGGGGAGGATTTTTTTGGGGGGCATCTTGGGGCCCTGGGGGGCCTCTTGGGGGGCCTGGCGGGGTTCTCTGGGGCGCGATGGTTTGCACCAGGCTCTCCCGAGGAGGCTCGATTGAATGGTAGTTGGACGCCTTGGAGAGGCGTGGGGCCGTCTTGGAACCCTCTTGTGCCGCTTTAGGTGGTTCTCGGGCAGTCTTAGGGCCGTCTGGGGGCTCATCGGGGCAGTCTTGGGGTCGTCTTAGGGGCTTCTCGGCGCTCTTTGAAGTTTTCCTGAGGCAGCCCGGAGCCGAAGGGGCTCGGACACAAACACACACACACACACACACACACGCACACACACACACACGCACCACGCACCACGCACCACGCACCACGCACCACGCACCACGCACCACACACGCACCACGCACCACGCACCACGCACCACGCACCACGCACCACGCACCACGCACCACGCACCACGCACCACGCACCACGCACCACGCACCACGCACCACGCACCACGCACCAGCACACGCACACGCACACGCACCAGCACAAGCACACGCACACGCACCACGCACACACGCACACGCACCACGCACCACGCACCACGCACCACGCACCACGCACCACGCACACACGCACACACGCACACGCACACGCACACGCCCCCCCCCCCCCCGCCCCACGCACACACACACACACGCACACACCCACACACGCACACACGCACACCACACCACACACCACACACCACACACCGCACACCACACCGCACAATCCCTTGGCCACGGGATTCGCGTTTTTCAGTTTCTGATGTGTGCCCTCAGTGGTATAAACTTGTCGTGGGCGTGCCAAAGCAAACACGCGTGGAGTCGTGCACTTCGCTCCAATACAAGGTGCATCCAGCATGGGAGTTCCTGGCGCCCAGCAAGGCCGAGGTGCGAAGCTGGCTGCAGCACCGCACGTCGCCCATGCCCTCGTGCTGGCACGGCTGAATCTCAAGCAGGCCGCGGCCGTGCGATGCTCGAGGCTGCAGGCTGCCCGTCCAGCGACCCTGCGCTGCTCCCACCCCGCGAACGCCACCTGTAGGGGGCCACGTGCGAACCCTGCCCCTGCCCCCCACGATTTCTGAGGGGGAGGGTGGGGTTCAGCGAACCCTACCCCTACCCCCCACGATTTCCGAGGGGGAGGGTGGGGTCCGCTTCGTTCGGGAGCTCCCCAGCGAAGTGAACCCCACCCTCCCCCTCAGAGATCGTCGGGGGCAGGGGCAGGGCTCGCATGTGGCCCCCTAACCTGGACGCTGCGCTGCGCTCTCTCTCGGGCAGCGACGCTCGCGGTCGTGCCCTCGCGGGGCCTCCCCGCCGCACAGCACCCGGCACGGAGGCCGCTTCGAGGCTGCCGCTCCGAGGCCGCCCGTGGCCTCCTCCCGCGGCTGCTCGAGCGCGCACGGGTCTGGAAGCGTGCGTCGGCCTCGCTCGCGGCGCACCGCGAGCCGTCTCCCGCTCCCAGGGGGCCACATGCGAGCCCTGCCCGACCTGAATCCAGGGGCCCTACCCCCAGCCCACAGAACTCCTGGGCGCTGCTGGGGCGATGCTCGAGGCACCTCGCGGCCCGAACACCTTCTGCGGAGGCCTCGGGAAAACGCGGCCCACGCCACCTGTAGGGGGCCACATGCGAACTCTGCCCCTGCCCCTCCGCGATTTCTGAGAGGGGAGGGTGGGGTTCGCTTCGCTCGGGAGCTCCCCAGCGAAGGGACCCCCACCCTCCCCCTCGGAGATCGTGGGGGGTATGGGGCAGGGTTCGCATGCGGCCCCCTAGCTCCTGCTCCCGCTCGCCTTCGCTCCCGCTCTCGCCCTCGTCGTCGTCTTGTTGGCGGCGGTCGTGGTGGCGGCCGTTCCCGCCGTCGAGGCGCTCTGACCCGAGGCGCCCTTGGGCCAGGCCTCCGCCACGGCTTTGCCCGGTCCAGCGGCGCAGAACACGGGGTCGTCTGCGCCGACATTGGCGCGTGAGCTGCCAGCGTAAGGTCGCGCGTAAGCGCCCTGGTCTCAAAGGTAGCGTGCCGCGCCGGCGGCTCGCGCAAGTCACCGCGTGAGGTCGCCGTGCCGTCTCACGCGAGACCCGCTTTTGATCGTCGCTCAGTCGGGTTTTGCCTCAGGGATTCTTTGTCCTCTTGTGAGGAGCTGGCGGGTGCCACCCCCTACTTCCTCATGCGGTCCCTGGCCTCGCCGTGCTCCTTGGTCTTGGTTCCCCCGCTGCCATGCCCAAGTTCCCCAGCCTTGCTTTTTGGGGTTCCCCAAGCCTTGCTCGGCACCCTGGCCCTGTTCCTTCGTGCCTCGGGTTCCCCGGTATTGTTCCTCGGGGTCCTTGATTATGTTCTCTGGGCTCTTCGCTCTTTGCAATGCCAAATGCTGCGGAGCAATGGCCGATCAATGCTTTGGATTGCATTGCTTTGTATTGCTGAGAACGTTTGAGTTGCTTTGACTTGCACTGTGCCCTGGTTGGGTCGCGCCTGTTTCATTCGACAGTCGGAAGCCGATCGTAGGGCTCCCTTGTATCCGTGCCTCCTTGGTTTATCCTTGAGACTACTTTCGATGGCCCGCCGCGCTCGACAAAGCTTCAACACGGGCGTCCAAGGGGCTTTTGCATCCTCATCGCACAGCCCTGCTATCAGTTCTGGCTGTGTAACTTCGTCTGAGCCCCTCCGTCGTTTGGGCACGGGCGCCGTGCGACCCCGTGCCCTGCTTCGTGGGCGTCCCTGCCGCCCCCCAGCTCGCGCTCCCTCGCTGCTTCTCCGTGCGCCGGAGTGGCGCGAGCTCGGGCTTCACCCCGGCCGGCGCGTGCTCCCTCGTGGCGGCCAGCGTCGCTTGCAATTGATAGGAGCGGGTCCCGAGGGAGGCGGGTCCTGAGGTTTTTCACCGTGTTCGGGTTCTCGGGGCCCTCCGCGGGCCCCGAGACTGGCAGGAAGCGAGTCGGGATGACGATCTGGTCCTGGGGGAAGGCCCCAGGGTCCAGGACGCGTTTCCCTCGGCACCCCTTTCCCCCTGCGGAGCGTCGCTGCTGGCCGTCGCCGGTCCTGTGCCAGAGTGCCCAGGCAGACAGTCGGTGTGGGCATCAGTCAGTGAGCGAAGAACGGTACAACATAAACTTTCCGCCGTCGGGGACACCTGCCCCTGGGCGGCTGGAAAGTTTATACCCCTAGGGTATAAATTTTCCAGCCGCCCTGGGGCAGGTGTCCCCGACGGCGAAAAAGTTTATTTTATACCGTTCTTCGCCTGTTAAATCAGTGGCGTCGGGCGCATCGGGCGCCGGGTGGCCCGCATCGCCACACGAAGGACACAGAGAGGCCGAGCCGAAGCTCTCCGGGAGCCGGCCGCGGAGCCCAGCGTTTCTCCTCGGGTGTGCGCCGAGAAGGCAGGAGGAGGAGGAGGAGGAGGAGGAGGAGGAGGAGGAGGAGGAGGAGGAGGAGGAGGAGGAGGGAGTAGGGAGGAGGAGGAGAGATAGGAGGAGGACGGAGGAGGAGGGAGGAGGAGGAGGAGGAGGAGGGGAAGGGGAGGAGGAGGAGGAGGAGGAGGCGGAGGAGGAGGAGGAGGAGGAGGAGGAGTGCGTGCAGGCCGGCGCGTGATAAGTGTGACTGGGCCTCGTGGAGCGCCCTTGCATCTCCCCCCTTGTCTTTTCTGTTATATCCGGCACTGGTTCCTCGTCCCTGGGGGTGGCTCCTCCTCCTCCTCCTGCTCCTCCTCTGGCCCCTCCTCCTGCTCCTCCTCCCCCTCCTCCCCCTCCTGCTCCTCCCCCTCCCGCGGGGCTTCTCGGGAGGCCTCCGGCGTTCCGAGGGGTGGCCGGTGTCTGCGGGAAAGGTTTGGGACACGTCTCAGGAGGCCAGGGGGGCCTTCCGAGCCTTCCGAGAAGGCCTCCTCCTTCTCATTTCCCCTCTCGCTCGCCGCCGCGGCCCCGGGTAACGGCAACTGACGCTCTGGCGGGGTGGGGAAGGGTCAAGTCGGAGCGGGGGTGCGCTGCGACCGCCGCAGCGTGCGCGCGAGTGCCGGCGTG